ACGGGAATGTGTTTATGATGTTTTAAATACTCATTTTTTTTAGAGTGGAAACTTTAAAACCTTAATGGCATGAAAAATATTTTTGGTAAATATCGAAAACGAATATCACCTACATGAATAATTGCTTCATAATATGAGGTAACCATCATTGATGACTGATATTTCAAAGATTCTGACTTAGATAAACCAGTGGTTACATGCTTATGATAAGGTTAAGGTTTTAGATTCAATCTTGTGTGATAACAAGTGTACCACAACTAAAAATTTTCGATTCATTTTTCATCTTATGAACATTTATAATAAAAAAGAATTTCTAAATTTCTAAAACATCCACAAAATGACTTCAGGAGATAAAAGCTTTTACATAAATTGTCACAGAGTCTATAGCATTACCAAATATTGAGTTCATTCATTTTAATATTCGTTTCCAGATATCTTAATTTGTTTATTAAATATTCATTCAATAATTCTAGGATTCTTATATATTTCTGTAAAAGTATTTGTAAAACAATCCAGTATTCCAACTACTTAATTCATTGTTTACCAACATTCATGATGTTCAGTATATGAAACATGTCATTATACTTTATGTTCAATATAGATACCACTGGAAATAGGATAATGTTACTTCGTCAATACCTTCAATTCGTCGTCAATTCATTAATTAGACGATTTGGAATTCGCGGATGACCTAGCCCTCCTATCGCATACACAGATAAAGACAGACAGTGCAGCAGCAGTCTCTGCATCAACAGGCCTCAACATAAACAGGGGGAAAACAAAGGTCCCCAAATAGAACACAGGGAACATCGAACCAATCACACTTGATGAGAAACTCTGGAAGATGTAGAATTCTTCACATACTTGGGAAGCATCATCGACGAACAAGGAGGTTCAGATGCAGACGTAAAGGTGAGGATTGGCAAAGCAAGGGCAGCATTCCTACAATTGAAGAACATATGGAACTCAAAACAACTTTCAAGCAATATCAAAGTGATAATCTTCAATACGAACGTCAAGGCAGTTCTACTGTACGGAGCTGAAACTTGAAGAACTACAACAACCACCATCAAAAAGGTACAAGTATTGATAAATAGCTGTCTACGCAAGATACTCAACATCCATTGGCCGGATACCATCAGCAACAGCCTTCTGTGGGAGAGAACAAACCAGTTTCCAGCTGAAGAAGAAATTAAGAAAAGACATTGGAAGTGGATAGGACAGACATTATGCAAATCATCAAACTGCACCACAAGGCAAGCCCTAACTTGGAATCCTGAAGGGAAGCGGAAAAGAGGAAGGCCAAAGACACATTACGTCGGGAAATAGAATCAGATATGAAAAGGATGGATAGCAACTGGAAGGAACTGGAAAGGATTGTTCAAGACAGACTTGGATGGAGTGTGTTGGTGGGCGGCCTATTCTCCTTCACGAGGAGTACCAGTAACCAGAAGACGAAAATGTATTTTTATCTAATGAAATATACTAAACATTCATAAAAATAAGAATCCTAAAAATTCTTTTCTTAATTTTCCACTATCGAACTGAACAAAAAGTTATTCAGGAAAAGAAAAAAAGAGCGTTATTACATAAATTAGTTCACAATAGTTATGCTTGAAATGGTTCATCTGATTGTGTATTCTCTTTAATGAAATCTAATCATACTTTCATAGAGACAAAATAGTCAGTAAAATTTAATTAAATAATTTCCCTTGGGTTTATATGATGTAATAAATAAAAATATATTATAAGTTTGTTAATAGTCGTATATTATTGAAATAACCATTTTATATTAGTATATAAGAAACATTAAGAGATTGGAGTCCATGTTTAATTATATAATTGATAATCAGGCTAACATAACACATAAAATCACTTTAATAATACATGGTTAACATGAAATAAATGCTTATCAACCTGCTTAAATGCATTAAAATAAAATAACTAAATTGATGATTATCAGAAGGGGTTTTGTGGAGATTTTAGTATTTTCAGTAGTTAAAATCATGAGTCAATTTAAGTTAGACAACCATGGACTGATAGGTCTTAGATTCGAATCTGGCGGGGCTGGATCTTGGATGCGCGCTATTGAAGAGTCTCATAATAGGACGAAACAGCCATCCAGTGCTTCTAGATTTTCCATGGTGGTTGTCAAACTTAAGGGAATATACTCAGATTTATCTGTTTCGTTGTTTAATTCAACTATTCCTATAGAACAATGTTATTTGATTAGTTATTCATGTTGCCTCCTATGAAGGAGTAGATTACCTTTTCATTTATATGTTACTTATTTTTCTGTAATCAAATGAAAGATTAACATTAGAAAATTTTGTCCAAGAATATAGAAATTTCTTCCTACAGAGTCGTAAACATAAGCATTAAATGATGTGAGTGTAGAAGGTATAATTCAGAGTTTAATGGACCTGATTACCATGTTCAGTTAGTTATCGTTACAATACAAATTATTATACTTCATGCCCTTCTATTTGGCTTTGAAATGACTCCATCATAAAACTAGTTAGTTTTGGAAATACACATTTTTATCAAAATGTTTGTTGAAGAATAATGAAAGTATTAAATCTTGATCTCCTACATGCAAAGAAGCGATAGATAAATAAATAGCTCCTCTTTCTAGGTATATTGATTAGTAGAAGAGACAATGGTTTCATCAACCGTTTTGTATGTAGAAAATCAAAGTGGACAGAGCAATACCTTAATTAATAAGGTCACTATCCAATCCATTACAAATGTGGATTAATAAAGGTTTTATTCAGTAAGATCAATCGTATTTGTAATAGCGATACTATTAAAAGAGACATGAAGCTCTTAACTGAAACTAATGAATAATGGTCATTCATTAAAGTTTATAACCATTGGAAAGGTAGCAATACGATGATATGTATGACGTTTTTGACATTTAAAAAAACGAGTCTATATTACCTTAACATCTAGAGGTAACTCAAACAGCCGTATGTTGAAACAAGGACTGAAATGAGCTATCAGCAGGACATTATATACAGCCTAACTTGTCATTATCAAGAAGTCAAGGTCTATATTTTTTTTACCAAGACTTCAAGTAGCATGCATGTGATCGCTTCACGTTCCAGTGCGTCTAGCATTTTACATGTATGTGTGGAGACACGTATACACAGAGGAGCAATTGTAAAGTGCAAGAAAGATTGGCCGAACACGCACCTAAGTGGCTACAGAAGAAAATGAATTCAAACTGTCAAATATGGTCATAGGATAGACAAATATCTTCCGTCATCACGAAACGTTTGGTTGAGACCAGTCATAAGGCTAACATCAAGTGACCCTTTGTAGTTTTATACAAAAAGTTTTAAGGGCATATACACAGGTTTACTGAAGCCTTGGCTGTACGGAAACCAGAATTCCCTTTGTTTGTCTAGAAATGTTTTGTTATTTCCCTTATCCTACCTTGATAATACTGATTTACTATCCAGTGTAATTTTCACTGTGTTTTTGTGTACTTCATTCCCACTTTCCTTTTAATTTGTTTAGTAGACCTTTTATTATTTATGTATAATGTCTAAGGTATATGTGTGATCACATTGTTCGAAATGTTTTGAGCAAATATACCATATAATTCTGATAAACTTAATCTTTTCATCGCATTAATCACATTCACCGAATAATATAAATTAATTTTATTTCATTGCTTTTCATTAGCTAGCTGCATACAGCCTGAAATTACAGAGAGTATTGCATTTTAAAACAGTTGTTTGACATAATATACGTAGTGAAGTTGAGATGAGTGTTCAGAACGAAATTCAAACCATAATGAAGAGGATTACATAATCAAGATGGAAATAACCAACGAACGAAGTTACTTGATGTAATTAGGTGGGTACCAATAAAAGATAAAAGAAATTTTAAAAAGCCTGTTTTTAATGTTAAACTCATTATCGTAACACAGAAAAGCTTATCAAACTACTCTTCTGTACACATACGTCCAGTGGAAAATGTATAATGCCTATTAGATTTGCAAAAATCGAGTAAACATTGGCGTTGATTATTTGTTATTTAATTTAGGTGTCACAGTAGTATACACTTCGTACCTACTTTTTCCATCAGGTCCCTGCTGATCGCACTTATGAAAATTTTACTACCTTTCAAGTGGAGATTTCTAGCGACATGTTAAAAAAAACGTGTAGTAGGAACTCTTCTGTCTGTTCTTCCAATAAATGCGCTACCATAACTAGATGAAAATTCGTAAATACTGTGGTGTGTGCTACTTATGTGGACATAAGTAGTATATAACGCTAGTCAAGAATAAAATGTCTGGCGGCAGATGATCGAGGAGGAAAGAACGAGACACAGAAGACAATTAGTATGGAAGTGTGGGAACAATAAAGTCTGTGACAATTAATGAAATATTTACTGTATGCTCTTCAGATTTTATGAAGACGTTCTGTAATTTTGTGTTTAAATACATTCGATTGTCTCCATTTGTGTTCTCATTCATTACAATACCACTGAAAATATCTGATCATATATTTTATATTCTGTACTTACTATGATTTTAGGCTCTATCTTGAATAATCATATAGACTTCACTAAATTATATCAAAGTGGCTAGCAGTAAAGTCCAGTTTAGACGCACATTTCGTCCTATTTGGCACTCATTAGCAGGATATACCTGCATCTCAGATTTAATATTCCCTCTGGGACTCGAACCCAGCACCGTTTGATTCAAACGTCATTGTGTTATCCACTTAGCTACTGAGTTCTTATGAAGAGTGCTAGTGGGCGGCCTATGCTCCTCCACGAGAAGTAACAGACGTACGTAAACTATATCAAAACTCTATTGATATTAATATTACCCTTATATAATTTCAATCGATTTGCAGTTCATGTAAAGCTATAAAATATAATGAATTCATATTTATTCAATATATCATATTCTTCTTCATTTATTTAAGTTGTAATTAATGAAATTTCATTACTAAAATATACTAAAATGAAAATTATATTAATACACGCAAGTTAATTATTATTATAGTATAATTTTTTAAATTATTTTCTAATAAATAATGTAAAATATAAGATACATTTATAGGTGAAATATACATACTTGACAGTAACATGAAAACAGTATACAATTAAATATATGAACAGTTTACGCACACACACACACGCACAAAAAAAGGAAAAAAAAGGAAAAAAATTAAATTTTTTATTAAACTTAGTAATGAATATTTTGTTTGCTCGTTTTCAGTTTTAACTCATTTAGTTTCATAAGAAATAGTATTTGTGAAATGAACTAATTTCAGATTTTCTTTCTTTTTTTTTGTTTTTTCTTTTCTTAAAAATAATTGATCCAATATTATTTATTTAGTTGTTTATTTACAATTGGGATAAATCTGTGCTAATTCTTCTTTAGAAACAGTTGCTACACTTAAACGACTTTTTTTATTATATTTTTTATAATTTTGTTGATAATCATTAGATGATGTAATAAATTCTTGAATATTATCATTTTGCTCTTGTTCTTCTAATATTTTCTCTTCTTCTTCTTCAAATATTAAACAACCAACACCCATAATTCCAACAATTTCATCTAAAACATGACCCCATGCATTTCTTACATCATCAGTAAATTCTTCATAAATTAATCGTCCCCATGTCATTAAAATTGCTTCTTTTATAATCTAACAGTAAAGATGAAAATAGTTATAAATATGAAAAGAAAACTTTTTCAAAAAAGAACAATTATTTCTGATCCAAGAGAGATAGTCTCTTGATAAGTGTTTAGTTAAAGTTATCTCAACAAAGTAGTTTTTTGTGTGAATCGGATAAAATTACGTATCTAAATGTCTACTATGTACAGAGTATGTTTGTTTTAAGGTGGTCGTTGGAGTTAGTCTACAGGAAACCCTGAACCTGAGTTTCGTGCTAATTGGCACTCGTCAGAAAAGTGTCCCTGTAATCTTGAGTGAACTGATACTCCCTGACAGATTCGATACCATATTACCCAGCTTCACAGTCAGAGACGTTACCACTGAGCTATCCGGGTCGTGACTGCCCTCCTGTAGGATTGAGATGTATTCACAATTGATTGATGACTTATTGGTCGATAGGATTCGATTTGCATTCAGAAGGATCTGACATACATGAGACAAATCACAACCTAGTGATTAATGAATTGTAAGTATGCCTTTGTATAATTTTTACCAGATCTATGTATTCTGATCTTATGATACTGTACATGAAAAGTTTCACGTCACTTAGCAATATCACGTAAACAATTATTCAGCTATTATCAGTTTTAATATACACAAAGGTTGTGTAATCGTAAATAAATGGAAAATATTCTGTATTCATATTGACAAAACTTAAATATTTAAATCACTGAATAATATATCTGTGTTTTAATGATGTGCGTAATTGTCATAAGGTGTCTAGGTAGTAATTCAATTATTTTTTTATTAAGCCGGGGAGTAGAGATAGACATGGGAAGAATGAACAACAATTGGTTAGAACTAAAAAGGAAGGCCCAGGACAGAGGAGGTTAGAGAATACTGGTCGGTGGTCTATTCTCAATTGGGGGTAACAAGCGTAAGTGAGTAAATAAGTAAGTCTAGGTCGTAGTTGCTATATCTGGAAGATTTTAAGGTACACAATACAGTGGTGTCTCAAACTATGAAGAAATGCCCATTCAAAGATTGATATTTCTTAGTGGTCATTTATGTATATTCAGGTAGTCATTTAAAATGCACGCTGAACATTATTCACAAACCTTCTTTGTTAATAGCGCAAAGATCAGTTACCAAACAGACAATTTCAGAGGTTTGTTGTTGTTGTTGTTGATAGTGATAGAAAATTTTCAACGCTGTTGAAGTCAGTTTTTACATTTTAAGATTTTTAGATAGGGCATAACTACTTATCTAATTCAAGATACGGAGTCATTCTAATAAGAAGAGAGGGAAAATTCACAAAAGACTATTCTTCACTTTATTAAACCAGTTTCTAATCCAGGTATTTTTTCATATCAATCTTCTTTTATTGAATCTTATTTTACAGTTTACATTATCAATTGCTAGTGCTTGTATTCCACATGTATACAGACAACTTTGAGCAGCATTTTAATAAATGAAAGAAAATATGAGAATAGTTTGTTTGCCCTAAGACAGAGAGGTTTACAGCCCATTGCTTCAATCCAACATTCTATAAAAATCTTTGTGTGAAAACACTTTGGGTTACAGAAAACTTTGATACATATATTTGGTTATTATGATTGTATAGATTTTCATTAAATTTTCTCGATAGAAACTATAGAAATTTAACAGTGTTAGGTAGCCATAAGTGTTAAAAATATCAGACTGTTGTATTGAGTTACCAAGCCATGTGAATCTGTGTCCAACTAGAAATTCCATTTATTTTATTACAAGTATTGATAAAAATAAACCAGTTGGTAGCTACACATACTTTTAGTGTAACCTGCATATTCACCAATAAATAAATTACAATTCAATATAAAGTTGATTAATTCTATGGTCGAACTTATTCGATTGTACAAAGCATTATAGAAGAATCTATCAAATCAAGCTGTCATTCAACTGAATAACGGGGATAATCAACTTAACGAAGAATGAGAACTGTAAACTTACAACTTACTAGCTAATTAATATTGGTTTTACTCGATTGTATATCTCATTTAACCAATTCTAGTAAAGAAACATAATTTCACTATAAAATGAAATTAATTTGTAATTAACTAATTCTTAAAAAATAAAATTTCTGTGATTCATTTATAATTAACTACATTATATGGAATATAGATTGCATAACTAACCTTAAAATATTCAATTTTCATATTATTTATAGCAGCGTGTTTTGCTCCAAGTAATGCCAATTCTTCATATAATGATTTACTATCACCTTCTAATGCTTTAACAGCCATGTTTATTACTCTCATAACTTTGGCTGAATGTCTTTTACAATCTGGACTATCCACAAGTACATCAGGACTAAGATGACTAGAAGTATGAAAAAAATATATATAAAATGAATTATAAAGTATTTACTTTGTAATTTCAACTTGTCATGACATATAACTCACAAATTTATGAGAAAATTGTTTTATAAGATTAGTTTTCAACACGGACTAATATCAAGTGATTGTTCAGTGACTTCTCAATTGTGCACATATAAATAATCGTAAATCAAACCAAAAAATATCTCAGTCACATAATGACTTACATACGCCTGTTAACCCTCGTGGAAGAACATAGGCCGACCACCAGTATTCTCCATCCAACTCTATCTTCAACAATCCTTTCCAGTTCCTTCCACTTGCTATCCATCCTTTTCATATCTGCTTCCATTTCCCGACGTAACGTGTTCTTTAGCCTTTCTCTTTTCCGTTACCCTTTAGGATTCCAAGTTAGCGCTTGCTTCGTGATACAGTTTGATGATTTTCTCAATGTCTGTCCTATCCACTTCCAATGTCTTTTCTTAATTTCTTCTTCAGCTGGAAACTGGTTTGTTCTCTCCCACAGTAGGCTGCTACTGATGATATCCGTCTCGTAATATGCAGAAAGTCTAAAAGATGTTAGTTGAGTCTCTATTTGTCTAATGTCACAGAGCACATTTATATGACTACTGGCACGGTTATATTTCACTTCCAATTTTTTGATGTTAATCAATATATTTTTCTTCATTACAAGTCATCCTGTTGTTTAAATGCTTCAACAAAACAAGAAAACCCACGATATTATATAAATGAAAGTAATTAAGTGTTCAATATGGATAACTGCAATGAACAATTGTTTTTTAATCCACTTGGTGTTGATTTGCTTGTATCTTCCTATTATCATTTAGGACTGCAATTGATCAGTCTCATGTTGGTATATGTGCATCCTGTGCGGATTGTCTCAATATAGCCTTAAGTCACAGGCTTTTTAAGCAAAGATGAATAATGGCTAGCAGTGAAATCCAGGATACGCGTTTCGTTCTATTTGGGACTCATCAGTTGGGTGTGCCCACTTCTCATAGTTGATATTCACCTAGGGACTCGAACTCAGTACCGTCCGCTTCAAACGCTATTGCGTTATCCACTTAGCCACCTACAAAAGCAGGTGGCTGTCAGGACTCAGTATCTAAGTGAATAATGCAATGGAGTTTGAAGCAAACGGTACTGGGTTCGAGTCCCTGAGTGGACATCAACCCTGAGATTCAGGTACATCCAGCTGACGAGTCCCAGATAGAACAAAACGCTTGTCCTAGATTCCACTGCTAGCCAATATCTATCTTTGAATAAAAAGTGTTTTTTTATGGAAAAAATGTATTCAGTTTAAATATTTTTTTATGAATACATTAAAGTATATCAGTTACTTAATCTGTTATAAATTTTACAGGTTGTTAAATAAACTTGAAATTGTGATTAATTTGTTTAGTAAAAAGGTGTAGCTAGCTTGAAATTCAAATATGTCAATGAAAGTCTTTATTTCTGTGGTATTATTCTAGCGAAATGTATAAATACTTACTGATACCTTCTATTGTTAATAACTGTGTTCATCATTTAAAACAAATCAAAAATATAATCGTTAATTTAATGCCTACTATTTCGTTGTTTGCATATAAGTAAATATTGAGGAATACCTAATAAAGTCATTTGTTCAATAAAATTTTATTTAAATAAGAAAGATTGGTTCAGCGAAGAATTCTCTTTGAGATGGTGGAGAAGATTTGTAGCTCAGGTGGAAAACCATGCATAAATATGAGAACAAAAATCAAACCAATGGGAGACACAACCAAAACAAAGAAGTAAACAATGATAAATTTAAGGTCAACAAGAACCAATCAACATCGAGGTGCACAGAACAAGCTGTGAAACACATATGGAGAAATTCGAACACTTCACTTCTATCTGAAGTTTGTGCTGATGATGTCGTTCAGAAGAACGATGAAAGCTCCACGACCAAACCATCCAGCTCAGAGAACAAAACTCCATCAGAAGAATTCTCTTTTCGGCGAATCCGTTTTCAAGGCTCTACAATCGTAAATGTATTTACTTATTTTTCCATCAGGATAATAATAATAATAATAATAATAATAATAATAATAATAAACTCCTGTTAGACATGGTGACAATGAGGTAGAATAAGCAAAGGCATTCAAGAAATTTTTTTATTAGGGAAACTAATAATTGTTTGATTGTTAATGGCTTAAATATTCATCAAAAGATAGATAAGGAAATTATCATTGGGAAAGGATGGCTCAGCATGACAATAAAAAGTGTTGAAACTGAGAATAAATTTAATCAGAAGGATCGTAGAAATCATTCGGGAGAAACAGATGACTATAAATGAAGAAGAGTATGAAAAAAATCATAAGACATTAAGACAATGGTAGAAGAAGAGGTTATACGAAGCTCTTTTGGATACATAATTCCGGTTTTTCCAGATGTATGGCTATTTCTTCGGCAATGCAAAGAAGATGCAATCTAATTCTCTTTGGAATACTTCCAATTACTTTGTAGATGACTCTGAACACAGAGTCCGTCTTGATTGAGTGACCTGTGTTCATAAGGTATTCGATTATTTAACTTTTTATTGATGAATATTAAAGCCATTAACAATCAAACAATTATTAGTTTCCCTGTTTAAAAAAGATTTATTGAATACCTTTGTTTATTCTACCTCACTGTCACCATGTTTAACAGAAGTTTATTATCATTATTATTGTAATTATTATCATCCTGACGAAACAAAATAAGTATATATATTTGCAATTGTACAGCTTTGAAAATGAATTCGCTGAAAAGAGAACTCTTCATTGAACCAATCTTTCATTATTTAATATTTTAATGGATGTATTCCGTTTACCATAAAATTTTATTTAACACGTTAGCAACTGTTTATTTTTTGCCCCATATCATAACGATTAACCACATTAAATATTTAAATCATACCAATTACACAACTCTTATTCATCAAAATAATAACTTAATAAGTAGTACTGAACATTTTTCATTTGAAAAGAATAAAAAAGTAACAACAATCAAATGAATTTTACTGATCACACTTACATGTACTTATATATACGGTATGTTCTAATCTTATTTAACTTGTCAACTTCAAAGACCACATATAAGCGAACAATTGTTTTCAATTAGATCGTCATCAGGCTTTACTCTAATATACATGAATATTTATACGAAAATGTTAAACCAATCAAGGCAATATGGGTGAATAATAACAACGAAATAGAATAGGTCACCACACATAATAAGCAGAAATACAAGTTGATAGTAGGAAGACAGGTGTACTGATAGTAGGTTAGAATAATAAAATACGATAACAAAAGTCTTATCAATAGTTAAACGTTGGAAATAGAGGGTCAAACGTGATTAAATAGACTTGGAATAGTCAACACAAAACATTAAAATCATTACGTAATGAGAAGTGTGTAAATAAATAGATAGTAAAGATTACAAACGCAAAGAGGCGGAAAGTTACAAACGAATACTAAATGTGAAAATAAGGCTAATGATAACAAAAATACAATAAAATAAATAGTAATTTAAAAAAGTCGTTAGTTGAGTTATAACTGGCCATGGGAGGGATAGGGAGGTTACGAATTTCTTCTGTACACATAAATTGGGATTATATGTACGGATTCCTATGGCTCCAGCTATATGTAGGAGGTGGGGACGAACTCCGTTGGGAAATGATGGAGGTATACGATAGATCACTCGAAATGATTTCGATTTATCTACAGCATGACCGCTATCAATGAGATGTGCCAAGATATAACTGCGAATTGTTTTTATTTGGCCCTTTATAAACCACACTAGTAGATGTTAACTCATTCGTTGGTTAAGTTGTCTGGTGGTACGCCCGATATAGCTATCTCCACAGGAGCAGCTGAATTTGTAAATGCACATTGAGGAGGCCAACTCAAGTAACTTTTCCTTCGTTTGCGTAGACATCGCTGGTCGTATTTTATTATTCTAACCTACTATCAGTACACCTGTCTTCCTACTATCAACTTGTATTTCTGCTTATTATGTGTGGTGACCTATTCTATTTCGTTGTTATTATTCACCCATATTGCCTGATTGGTTTAACATTTTCGTATAAATATTCATGTATATTAGAGTAAAGCCTGATGACGATCTAATTGAAAACAATTGTTCGCTTATATGTGTTGTTCTAATTTTCACAATGGGAATCTTTAAACTTCAAAGAAGTAAACAAAGAAAGCATTTATACCATTCAAATGCTTCTTTCATGAATGACTACCTTATTATCTTTTTAAAAAATAAATTCACTGTATCAACAGTAAATATCATAGTAATTCTTTATTATAGAAATTGTCAAAAATATAAACTCAGAATATCATTATTTTTTATTTTAAAAAATTGATTTTTATCTTGTTTCCATGTCGATAATAATGATAACGATACTTCCAATAAATAATAAAAAAACAATCTGTCATGGGATTTTGGTCATATAAATATTGCATAGTGATTAATTCTTTTTTGGTAGATATGACTTAAAATGATGTGAAATATAACGATACAGAAAGAAACTCGTATGTTTTTCTAACAACAACAATCAACATAACAACCAACGTAGAAATGAAATTTAATTTCGTGTTTAATCAAATTATTCATTTCATAAATATAACACGTAAATAAAGTAAAAAAAAGAAGGAACCACTACTATTCCTTCGACTAGTTGTCAATTAAAAATAACAACGATCTATATATATATATCGTTGCTATGGTAAAGTTGTTTGAAAAATAATAAATATTCTTCAAATGAAGTGAAGTGGAATATTTAAACAAACTTTATATGAGAACAAGATGTAATGTATGTTTACTTTCTAATTGTACACATGTATCTAGAAGATGATTGTTTACATGGGAAAAATCTATATTCAATTCGTTGTATGTTATCATATGATGAATTTTATTATAATTTACATGAGTATTTTTAGACAGCAATTTCTTTAATCAAAATATAATTCG